AGGTCCATCAGTGGCTATATGTCACAAGGTATAGATAGGAACTCTCAGTCTGGGGAAAGGGATGCTTTGTCTTCCTGGTGCTTGGGGGGGGGGGTCAACAGTGGGAGGGCTCCTGGTGTCCTGGCCCCCCTGCTGGACCTCCTGAGGGCACCTGGTATTTCTGGCCACTGAGTGACACAGAGTGTTGGACTGGATGGGCCACTGGCCTGATCCAACATTGGCTTCTCTCTTATTTTCTTATGTTCACTCTTGACAAGCCACTGCAGATGTATTTAGACTACAGTGGGCAGGCAGATTAATTCCTTCTGCAATTGTCTTCTCAACACCCCCCCCCCCCAAGGGAAGGGAAGCACTGGCTCAGTGTTGGCTCATGCCACCTTCAGATAGATCCCCAACAAAAGAGAAAAACTGAAGCTCAGTCAACCTCGCTGGCAAGCAAAAAGCTCAAGCACTTCCAGAGCCATCCAGATATACTTCTTGGCCCAACTGAAAGCTCCCAGAAGTGACCACTGGCGGACCACTGCTGCTGGCCTATCTGGTCTCTGGTTGGATCCTGCTGACGGGGTGGGTTGGGAGGGACAACAGAACAGCCTAGGCCTAGCTTGGCCCCAGAGGGAGCGGCAACGACATGCACAGGTCCATCCGGTGGTCCCCTCCTGTCCTGCTAGCTGGACAGGAGCCAAGGAGCCCCTGAGGACCTGGCCTTTAACCGTGGCCAAGCAGCAGTGCCCCGGGGTAAGAGCCTACGGGGAACCCTCCCCAAAAGTAGGTCAGTCCTCCTTGAAGGCCGTTCCTTACGCAGGGGCAGAAGGCGCTTTCTGCTGTTGACAGGAAGGAGTGAAGAAAGATGAAGGATAGGAACCACAGGTATCGGGAAAGGTGTGCCACTGGCCTTCTCATGGACCTCAGCAGCTCACAACAGATCTGGAAGCACCACCCAAGAGAGGCACTCCTAGACTCTCACAACGTCACAGAGAATACCGGCAGATGAGACTACTGTAATGCGCAGTGTGGGGGGCTGCCCTTGAAGCCTGTCTGGGAGCTACAACTGGTACAGAACGGAACCACACCAGCCCCATCTTATTCCACCTATGCTGGCTCCCAATTTGCCTCCGGGCCTAATTCAAAGTTCTGGTGTTGACCTTTAAAACCTACGGCTTGGGCCCAACATGCCTTAAGGGTCACCCACTCTCGTATGAACGCACCTGATCACGATGGGGCCCACATCCTGTGCCCCCACCCTCTGAGGCCAGGCAGGCAGCAACCAGCGGAAAGGCCTTCTTGACCATGGCACCAAAACTCTGGAACTCCCTCCCCTCAGGGAACTCTCTCTGTGTGTCACAGTCGCGCCCCCCCCCCTCCCGGCCATCACCTTCTGTCGGCAGGTGAAGGCTTCCGTACTGTTTGGTACTCCCCTCGTCCTTCCTCCTTCCAGTTTATGTGTCTGTGTCTCTAGGTTTACATGTTTTCTTAAACTGTTTCATACATTTTATATACGGTCATTTGTAGACTGATTGTTCCTGCCTTGGGTGGGAAAGTGGCAAACAAATGTTTTAAATGAATAGAAATCATGTGCTACCCAAGGGGTACTCCCCAGCTCCACCTGCAACATAGCACAGGAGTCTGGGACACACCTTTCCAGACCACCAGGCTGCCCTTCAAAATATCTGTGCTCCAGTTGGCTTCCAGAGCTGCCGTGAAGACTTCAGCAATCTGGATCGCCAGCACTCCTGTGGGGCCTTTTGCGTGGCTGGCCTCAGTGGTGGTGCCCCCAAGGTATTCTGGGACAGCCAAGCACCCAGAAAGGAACAAGCGCAGATGCTGGTGCAGAGCTCCTGTTTTGCATGCAGAAGGTCCCGGGATCAATGCCTGCTGTCTCCAGTGGCGCGATCTCAGGCAGCAGGGGCTACGAGAGACCTGCCTCTGCCTGGGAACCTGCACAGCCACAGCGCCTGAGGAGGCAACACAGAAACAGATGGGCCGACTCTGCAGGCCCCCAGAGCATGGTTCCTCCTCCCTCGGGGCTGCTGCCAGGCCCAGCAGTCACTTTACAACCGAGGAAATGGAACATGCCACAGCTCTCCCCCTTCGCCAGAGCTCCCATCACACAACTGCACAGATGGAGGTTCTCCACCCCACGGCCACTCGTGCTTATTTGTGCCAAGTGCCTCTCTTTGTAAAGCTGGTTTCCGAACAAGGTGACTGTGGCAGACTGCACTTTGTAAGGGGCTAAAAACTACAGGGCTGTGAAGGGTTAATTCTTCACAGAGCCGGAGAGCCTTGCAGGGCAGGCTGCTCTGAGCAATCAGATTGGTCGGCATCAGCTGAGCAGACAGAGTCTTGAGAGAGCTGGATGCTGAGATTTGATTTCCGATTTGAGCCTTGACTTGAGAGAGTTCGAATTCAGCCCGGACTGAGAGTCTGATTGCAGCCTTAGCTGAGAGCAGTTCAAGACAGATAGGAGAACGGTGGAAAGGTTGGCTAGGAGGTTTGGGAAGTCAACCGAGACTCCCATTCAGACCAAGGAAAGGGGAGAAAACGTCTAGGGAGAGAAGGAGATCCCCTACCCAGTTGAATAGGGTGATATCTCTGAAGGGCGCAGAGACCCCTGGTCCGGTGTGGTTAAAAACTGCATGGAGAAACCTAAAGAGTCAGTCAAACACTGGTGTTCCCAAGAGAAGGGGGTTGGGTACTGGGAAGAGGGATACCAGCCTTCTGGGCACCAAAAGAGTCTACTAATATACAAATAAAGTGTGCTGGAGTGGTTCGGGGAAACCCAGGAACAAAAGCCTTTCAAAATAAAGAACTACTGCTGTTTACCCCCCCCCCCTTCGAAGCAGTGGCGGCGGCGAGTGATTTTGCAGAGCTTTCCCTGCGCATGCGCAGGGGACGCTCTGTCACTTTGGGGGGGATTTAAGTATCCCCCCGATAGTTTTTTAAAGTTTTAAGATTTTTGTGCACACCTGGGGACTGCCCCACGTGTGCACAAAACTCTCCCTCCCCCCCAGGTGCCCCCGGTGCGCGGATTTAGGTATCCGCACACCAGGGGGCGACTTCAGAATTATACAAATACAAAGACGGAGGTCCTGGGGCTGAGTCGGATCGGTTCGGGGTTGGGGCTCCCTCTCCCGGCCTTCGATGGGACGCCTTTGGTGCCTACGTCGGAGGTTAGGAGTTTGGGGGTGCTCCTGGACTTCTCATTAACGATGGAGGCCCAGGTAGCAGCCACTGCCAAGTCGGCATTTTACCATCTTCGGCTGGCAAGGCAGTTGGTTCCCTTCCTCGACCGGACTGACTTGGCCACGGTGATCCACGCGACGGTCACCTCAAGGTTAGACTACTGTAACGCTCTCTACATGGGGCTGCCTTTGTCGCAAATTCGGAAGCTGCAACTAGTGCAGAATGCTGCAGCCAGGCTGCTGACGGATCTTCCTAGACGAGATCACATCCAGCCAGTGCTGAAAGCGCTGCACTGGTTGCCAATAGCGTACCGGGTTCGCTTCAAAGTGCTGGTTATCACCTTTAAAGCCCTATATGGCCAGGGACCAGCCTACCTAAGGGACCGCCTTACCCCACATGTTCCCCCAAGGGCACTACGGCCAGGGAGCCGGAACCTACTGGAGGTACCGGGCCCCCGGTCCATCAAATTAACCATGCCACCACTAGACCACCAATGCATCAGTATACCATCGACGCCCGGGAGGACATCTGGATATGGGCATGGACTGCCAAAGCCCTAAATACTTTCTTTTGCATTATGGGCAAGACTGGGACGTTCAGAGGACCGCCATCTTGGTTTTAGCTAGCTTTGTTTTAGATAGGTTATAAATTATGAAGCAATTTTAATATTTTGTATTGTTTTATTGTTTTACTTTGTTATTAATTATATGTTGTTAGCCGCCCTGCGCCTCCGGGGAGGGCGGGGTATCAATATAAATAATAAATAAATAAATAAATAAATTAGATATATAGATAGTAACTGTGAATAATTCAAGAAACTCTCACTAGCCTGATATATAAAAATAAGAGTTTGTGCGAATACTATTTTATCTCAGTATTTTCAACCCCTGACTTCACCTAACCTTTTCCCCTTGATGTAAAATAAAACACTTTGTTATTTTTGGATTTTAAAAGCATCTCAAGTACCATTTTGTATCATTTATGTTAAAGGGAGACCCCAGCCCTTCCCTCAGGTCCTGGGCTGAGATAATAGCCATTACGTATTACTGACACAGGGTGGGAGTGCTAAAGCTACTGTAAAGGGAAGAAGAACCCACGCTGCCACCAGGGCTGCTCAGTCAGTGGAGGGGCACAAAAGGAACACGAAGGGGGAACATTGCCAAAAAGGGAGGGAAGTGGATGGGGTCTGTCACCGTGACACAGTCTCCTTGCTCCTTAACGTGCCACAGTCAAATGCCAGCGAAGGGGGGCCACAGAGGGATGCCTTCCCCACGGCTGTCGGCCCTGCCGGCACTCCGAAAACCTCCCACAAGCAGAAGTCTTGGCAGGATCAGCAGACCAGCCACGCTGAGCCCACGGCTGGCCCAAAGGACTGGGCCCAAAGGAGAGAGGACCCCCACATGGAAGAAAACAGGAGGGCACGAAGGGAGGCAGCTGACAGGGGCAGCAGGTCTCATGATTCGTACTAAGGAAACAAAGGGCTGTGAGGGGACTGGGAAAAGGTTCTAAGCTAGGATGAATTGACATCACAGCGCATTCACTGAGGTGGGCTGCACACCGCAGCTGGGACTGTTCCCCCCCCCCCAATCTGCTAGCCCACCAGCAAGGAATCGTCCCTGCATGGCTTGCAGACACCCTCTGTGTTCCCAAAACTTAGTCCAGAAGCCACCTGAGACGGCCCCTGCCCCTGGCGCTGTCTTGGTCACATTATTCTGGCAGCTGCTGCTCATTTAAATCCAGAGGGGCAAGAGGATGCCAGCAGACAGACAGCACCCCCTCGCAGTGCCTTCCACCCAACAGGGTTTGCCCAGGTCCCTTACCTTGCCCAGGACGGTGAGACAGGGCTTGGGCTCCAGCTCTGGCTGCTCTAGTTTCACGACTCCGACCCAGCCGTACTCGTACAAGTCCTCTTCGTCGTTGCTGTTGCAGAGCCCCAGCGGATGCATCTGGATTCAACAAAGGGGAAGACGAAGCCGCCATGAAGCAGGCAAGGAAAGCAGAGCCCCGCCCCGCCCACAGCGACCGCTCCCCTCCCCAGCACAGCAGCTGCCCGGGCTCCCCTGGGCCAAGAGACACACACTGGTTCCGTTACTTATTTATGTGGTTGTTTGTTCAGAAAATGGCCACGGAACGTGGAACAAACTGTGCATGTGGGAACAGCCTACTACGCTACAGGTCAGGGAGCTTTTCCAGTAGGGAAGTCCTCTTGAAACTCATGCTGCTTGGCAGGAACCCGTTTCTGCCTCTTGGCTCACTAGGATATACCTTAAAAGCAGGCCCAATATGATTTCCCCCCCTTCCCTACGGTCAGGCACTGGAGGACTTCTGTTTCATTGTTATAACCAAATATTATGAGCAAGAATGGGTCTCTTCTGAGCTTCTATACAGAAGACAATTCCAGAGAAGCAAAGCTCCTGCCCTCTTTCTCCTCCACGCAAGGCCTGCATCCCCCCCCCCGTTTTTTTACCTCCACTAGCAACCCCCCCTCGCCCCCACCCCACCCCACCCCCCCTTTCCGGGGGGGGTTTCAGGAGCTCACAGCTGCCATCTGAAGGCCAGGCCCTCTTCCTCCCAAAAGCACGGGGCTGGTGGCGACATCTCTAAAGCGCAAGGGGGTCACCAGTTTCTTTTGTTTCTCTTACTTTAACCATTTATTCACAGTTTTGCTTATACAGGACAAAACACAGAAATAGCAAAGCTAATGAACCCAAAGACTGAGATGAACACTCTATGCAGGACTATCATTTTTTTTTGGGGGGGGGGTATTATGGAGTCCTATCTAACTGAGCCAGGTCATCATTTCTTTAGGGCACTTCTTTATACTTCCTATTCCATTCTAATGTACTAGGAATAGTATTCTTTCTCCAGTGTTTTGCGTATACAATTCTCATTGCTGTTATCAAAAGCAAGATTACATTAGGACATTTTTTAGAAGCACAGACACACCGCTTAACAGAGTAACATCTGGAAAGTGAGGAAATTTCACATTCAAAACATTTTCCATACACTCTGCCACTGACAACCTATATTCTTTTGCCCCTGGACACGGCCACCACAGCTTTTTCTATTTTGGAGGGCTGCTTTCGAGAAAAAGCCAAGCACTCACCTATACTACTTAATAAATGTGTAACTTTTTTTAAAGCAGTAATCTTGTTTAAACCACTCTCATGGATCACTGCCTTGACGTGGCGAGGGGGCTTACGTGGTCCGATGAGGCTGCAGGCTATGCCGTGGAGGGCCACCCAGGACAGACAGGCCACAGCAGAGAACAGACAAAACGTGATCCACTGGAGAAGGAAATGGCAACCCACTCCAGTACCCCATGGACACTAACAAAAGGCTGAAAGATATGACGCCAGAAGATGAGCCCTTCAAGTCAGAAGGTGTCCAATACGCTACTGGGGAAGAGCAGAGGGCAAGTACAAGTAACTCCAGAAAGAGTGAAGTGGCTGGGCCAAAGCCGAAAGGACGCTCAGCTGTGGATGTGTCTGATGGTGAAAGGAAAGTCCAAAGCTGCAAAGAACAATACTGCATAGGAACCTGGGATGTAAGATCTATGAATCAAGTTAAATTGGATGTGGTCAAAAATGAACTGGCAAGACTGAACATCGACATCTTGGGAATCAGTGGACTAAAGTGGACAGCAATGGGCGAATTTAACTTGAAAGACCATAATATCTACTACTGTGGCCATGAATCTCATAGAAAAAATGGTGTGGCAGTAATGGGATACAATCTCAAAAACAACAGAATTATCTCAGTCCGAATCCAAGGCAAACCACTGAACATCACAGTAATCTATGCCCACAATAAGTCTATGCCCCAACCACTGATGCAGAAGAGGCTGAAGTGGACCAGTTCTATGATGACCTACAACACCTCCTAGAACTAACACCAAAAAAAGATGTCCTTATCATCATAGGGGACTGGAATGCTAAAGTAGGAAGTCAAAAGGTAACCGGAATAACAGACAAGTTTGGCCTTGGAGAACAAAATGAGGCCAGGCAAAGGCTAAGAGAGTTTTGTCAAGAGAACACGCTGGTCAGAGAGAACACCTTCTTCCAACAACCTAAGAGGCGACTCTACACATGGACATCACCAGATGGGCAACACCGAAATCAGATTGACTATATAATTTGCAATCAAAGATGGAGAAGCTCTATACAGTCAATAAAAACAAAAACTGGAGCTGACTGTGGCTCAGATCATGAGCTACTCATCGCAAAATTCAGGCTTAAACTGATGAAAGTTGGGAAAACCACTAGGCCATTCATGTTTGACCTAGATCACATCCCTGATGAATATACAGTGGAGGTGAAGAATAGGTTTAAGGGACTGGATTTGATAGACAGAGTGCCTGAAGAACTATGGACGGAGGTTCATGACATTGTACAAGAGACAGCAATCAGCACCATCCCAAAGAAAAAGAAATGCAAGAAAGCAAAGTGGCTATCTGATGAGACTTTACAAATAGCAGAGGAAAGAAGGAAAGCAAAAAGGCAAAGGTAAAATGGAAAGATTTATCCAACTGAATGCAGATTTCCAGAGAACAGCAAGGAGAGATAAAGATGCTTTCCTGAATGAACAATGCAAAGTAATAGAGGAAAACAATAGAATGGGAAGGACTAGAGATCTCTTCAAGAAAACTGGAGAAATCAAGGGAATGTTCCATGCAAAGCTGGCCATGATAAAGGACAAAAATGGTAGGGACCTAACAGAAGCAGAAGAGATTAGGAAGAGATGGCAAGAATACACAGAAGAACTATACAATAAGGACCTCAATGTCCTTGGCAACCACGACGGTGTGATTGCTGACTTTGAATCAGACATCCTGGCATGCGAAGTCAAATGGGCCTTAGAAAGCATTACTAACAACAAAGCTAGCAGAGGTGATGGTATCCCAGCTGAGCTATTCAAAGTCTTAAAAGATAATGCTGTTAAAGTGCTGCACTCAGTATGCCAGCAAATTTGGAAAACGCAACAGTGGCCACAGGACTGGAAAAGGTCAGTTTATATTCCAATCCCAAAGAAGGGCAATGCCAAGGAATGTTCAAACTATCACACAATTGTACTAATTTCACATGCTAGCAAGGTCATCCTAAAGATCCTACAAGCTAGGCTTCAGCAGTACTTGGATAGAAAACTGCCAGAAGTACAAGCTGGGTTTCGAAGAGGTAGAGGAACTAGAGATCGAATTGCCACATTCACTGGATTATGGAGAAAGCAAGGGAGTACCAGAAAAACATCTACTTCTGCTTCATTGACTACACTGAAGCCTTTGATTGCATGGATCACAACAAATTGTGACAAGTCCTTAAAGAGAGCACCTTACCAGAGCACCTCACATGTCTCCTGAGAAACCCGTATAAGGGTCAAGACATGACAGTTAGAACGGGATCTGGAACAACTGATTGGCTTAGCATAGGAAAAGGAGTACAAGATGTATATTGTCACCCTGATTATTTAATTTATATGCAGAGTACATCATGAGAAATGCCAGCCTGGATGAATCACAAACCGGAATTAAGATTGCTGGGGAAAAGATCAACAACCTCAGATATGCAGACGATACCACTCTAACGGCTGAAAGTGAAGAGGACCAAAAGAGCCTCTTGCTCAGAGTGAAAGGGGAGAGTGCAAAAGTTGGCTTGAAACTCAACATCAAAAAAACTAAGATCATGGCATCTGGCTCCATCACTCCTTGGCAAATAGAAGAGGAAGTTGTGGAAGCAGTGACAAACTTCACGTTTCTGGGATCCAAGATCACTTCAGACGGTGACTGTGCCTGCTCCTTGGGAGGAAAGTGATGGCAAACCTAGACAGTATAATAAAAAGTAGAGATATCACCCTGCCAACAAAAGTTAGTATGGTCAAAGCAATGGTATTCCCAGTAGTACTGTATGGCTGCGAGAGTTGGACCATAAGGAAGGCTGAGTGCCGAAGAATAGATGCTTTTGAATTATTTTTGAATTATTATAACACATGGAATTCACTGCCACAGGAAGTGGTGGCGGCTACAAGCATGGACAGCTTCAAAAGGGAATTAGATACTATTAGCCACAAGGTATAGATAGGGGCTCTGGGGCAAGGGATGCTCTGTCTTCTTGGTGCTTGGGGGGGTCAACAGTGGGAGGGCGGGTCAACAGTGGGAGGGCTTCTAATGTCCTGGCCCCACTGGTGGACCTCCTGGTGGCACCTGATGGTATTTCTGGCTACTGTGTGACACAGAGTGTCAAACAGGATGGGCCTTTGGCCTGATCCAACATTGGCGTCTCTTATGTTCTTATGTACTTATGGTGCTGGAGAAGACTCTTGAGAGTCCCTAGTGTTACCAGGTCTGGGTTGGAAAAGACTTGGAGACTTTGGGAGTGGATCCAGGAGAGGGCGGGGTTTGGGGAGGGGAGGGGCCTCAGAATGGTACAATGCCATAGAATCCACCCTTCAAAGCAGCCATTTTCTCCAGGGGAGCTGATCTCTGTCAGCTGGAGATCAATTGTAAAAGTGGGAGATCCCCAGGCCCCACCTGGAGGCTGGCAGTCCTAAAAGTCCCCTGGACTGCAAATCAGTCAATCCTAAAAGAAATCAACCCTGACTGTTCCCTAGAAGGCCAGATAATGAAGCTGAAGCTCAAATACTTTGGCCACCCAATGAGAAGGGAGCCCTCACTGGAGAAGAAGACCCTGATGCTGGGAAATATTGAAGGTCAAAGAAGACGGGGAGTGAAAAGGATGGTTAGACAGTGTTATTGAGGCAACGAACATGAAATTGAGCAGGAGGGCCTGGCGTGATGTGATCCATGGGATTGCGAAGAGTCGGACTTGACTGTGCGACTGAACAACAACAACAACGTCCAAGCCCTGTTGAGAGATGTAAAAGTGATTTTGCACCGCTTGGGAACAGTGACCATAATGCTATTGAGTTCAACATTTGTATAAATAGGGAGTTG